GACGATTTGTTGTGCTTTATTCCCTCAAGACTGATAGTAACAACTTGTTTTGCATTGTTGTACATGCTCAGCACTGAAAGATTTAAAACTAGTTCTTCAGTAGAAGTTTTCTTGAAGGAATGTGTGTGTGGGAAGTTGTGCCGCTTCAGAAGTTGTGCCTTTGAAGTGGTAGTAGGTAAGGAACATTCAGATCTGGCTGGAGGAAGTCTTTTGCTCTCAGAAACATCCACAGCAACTTCACAGGCTACTTTGGTACCACCCTGAGGGGTGGTGGGCAGGAGGAGAGCTCTAAGAGGGAGACTGGGGCAGTGGCTAGCACTGCTGCTGTCAGGGGATCCACAGCTGGGAGGGGTTGCTTGGTGAGGCTGTGGATCCATCTGGAGAAAGCATTCCCAGGGGCTGCTGCCTTTCAGCTGAGAGGTCAGGGTGCTGCAGGAGTCTGGCTTGACCAAAGCCTAGGCCTTAAGTTCAAGTCTCAGCACACTTTAGAGCTCTCCTTACTTTTTTATCAGGCCAGGTCTGCTTTTCCCTTCTTTCTCCCTTGGGTTTCTTATGAACTTTATGGTGCTGATATCCATTAGGCTCAAAATGCCAAATGTTTGTTGACCATCATAGGACTTTGAAAATGCTTAGTGGCTGTGCTGCTCCTGAGTGGGTGACATCTCCAACAGGATTTCATCTGCTTGGTGGGAGAGTCTCTGGAAAGCTAATGGTGCTGCAGGAAGGGGTAGGGCTGCAGTGTTGTTGAACTGCTGTAAATAAGGCAACATATCAAGATGGAAAGATACATGGAAATTAGGTTTTGGTTGCTTGAATTTAGCAAATTTCCCTGATGTTGTGCCTTTGTTGATTGATTTGGTTCACAGAATCCCAGAATCAGTGAGGTTGGAAGGGACCACAATGGTCATCTGGTCCAGCCTCCCTACTCCAGCAGGGCCACCCTAGAGCACATGGCTCAGGGTTGTGTCCAGAGGGTTCTGGAATATCTCCAGTGAGAGAGACTCCACGACCTCTCTGGGCAATCTGTTCAGTGCTCAGTGACTGCACAGGAAAGAAGTTCCTCCTCGTGCTCAGGTGGGAGGGAGGGATTGGTGCAAGGAGATTGGGATGCAGGCGGACACT